TATGTACGCATCCATCCATCCATCCATGCATCCATCCATCCATCCATCCATGCAAACATGCATGCATGCATATATATATATATGTATGTATGTATGTATGTATGTATGTATGTATGTATGTATGTATGTATATTGATTGTATCTGCTTGCCAGTCTGACACAATCGTTTCTTGTGCGTGCTGTCTCATGCGCTCGATCTTGCTCAGGCCTTCACAACGGCAGGATTCCAGCAAGAGGCCCACCTCCAGGTGCGACATGAAGCAGAGAGAAAATGGAGGGTGACAGCGTGATGGAAGCGGGCAGGTCGGAGTTTCCATGGCCACAAGGAGTGACTGGAGGAAGACCCGAGCGAACCGCTCCTGCACTGATCTTCCCAGTTCAGGACGTAGATGCGTAAGCCAGCATGCGGACATGTGAGAGGTGCGCACGTGCGATGCTCCTGTCCGCTTGGGTTTCTTTGTTGAAATCCCCGAGTGTGGAAACAGCAGGCTAGCGCGGTTTGTGCCAGAAAAAACTCGCAGAGGCTGGATCACCAAAGCTTGCTACCGTTTTCAAACATGATGCCCATCATTACCCATTTTTGGCAAAAAACGCCCGTGATTTGCATGAGACATAGCAATGATCTCCCGCACAGAATAGGCATGCTTCCCTGCCTTTCAAAGTGTCACCCTCCGTGTTCTCACACCTCCCTAAACCCTAAACCCTAAACCCTAGACCCGAACCCTCTTCGTCGATCTTGTAGCTTACTCCGGCCTTGCTTTCGGCCCCGAGCTGTCGAGGCTTTCGTGGCCCCGTTTGAAGTAGCCGAAATCTATACTATACTACACTATACTTTACTATACTATACTATCTACTATACTATACTATGCTATACTATACAATAAACTATGCTATACTATAGTCTACTATACTATACGGAGCCAACGTGCCAGAGAGGTCCGATGAATCCTCCGCCGGAGTTAAGACCGCCAACATGCGCAGAACCAGGGCCAAAAACCGGCATCAACTGAATCAACTGTGAGGAACGACACAAGCTGTCCTGCATAGAATCAGCGGCACAGAGAACCAAAGCGGAGTTGTAGGCGTAGTGCATGTCTTTTGTTTAGTCTGTAGCCAGCATGTGGTGTGAGATGGTGTGAGCTATCCAGGAATCCATCTCATCACGCATAACCTGGAAGGAGGCCGCCATGGCTGGCCGAATCGGATAACATGGCTTGGCCAAAACACGAGTTTGTAGGGCTCAAAGAGTTTATCGGGCCCTAGTACTTTCTAGCATTCTAGCAGTAGCACTTTGACGGGAAGCTGCTCGTAGCAGCCATCGACCGACGCTTGCTTCTCATAGCAGCCATGGCGGCATCCGAGCCCTCGAAAGAGCCCTCGACGGAGGATCCGTTGCAATGCTCTTAAACCCTAAACCCTAAAAGCCCTAAGCCCTAAACCCTAAACCCTAAACCCTAAACCCTAAACCCTAAACCCAAACCCTAAGCCCTAAACCCTAACCCTTAAAGCGCCACAGCTGCAAACCTGCCCGGTGAGCTCCAGGAGCCCCCGGCTGCCCCCAAGCGGCGTGCTCGGAAGGTCAAGGACGCTGAGGCACTGGCGGGCCACGAACTCATTGTTTGTTATTGTTCATGTCATTACTAGTAAAACTACTAATATTACTATTACTATTATTATTGTTATCATTAGTATTTTTGCTATTATTATATTAATGTTACAATCACTATTGCTATTACTGCTACTAGATGGCCATGGGTCACATGGCCTTTTCTTTCCCTTACCAGGCGAAGCGCGCGGCAGCGACCGTGAAGATGCTGCTGAAGATGGACCGGGAGGCCGCCCAGGAGAGGCCCAGAGTCAGGGACATAGTAATCGTAGACCCCCAAAACTTCCCTTATAGTTTAGGGTAAAGTATACCCCAAAACTGCCCTTGTTCTGGTTTAAAGTTTAAGATCAGGGATTCCCCCGGCCTCCGGTTTCAGGAGACGGCGAAGCCTGCGAAGGCAGAGAAGCAAGCCGACAAGGCCTTTCGTTCTCCCCGGGTGTGGGAAGGCCAGTGAGCTAAGTTTCGATCCTTTGTCAGGCCTAAGTAATCTTGCCAGTTAGACCCTTGTACCGACACCAAGTCGCATCATTTTTGTTGGATCCCACCCCACACTGGGGGGAAGCACCCGGGAAGGTCGCATCACCGAGCGTCTTGGGGATTCATGATCACGTTGATTCGGGATTGTCGAGGGCTGATTGCTGAAGCTGTAGTTACAGCAATTTACATGGAGAATCGTTCTTTCTACATTACTGGGTGCTTGCAGAATCGAGCGTCTACATGGGGAACGGCTGGTTTTGATTTGCTGTTGCTGCGATGCCGTTGATGTGTTTATTGTGCGGGTGCTTACGAAATCGAGCGTCTACCTGGGGAATGGCTGGTTTTGATGTGCTGTTTGCTGCGATGCCACTGATGTGTTTCTTGTCCGGGTGCTTACGAAATCGAGCATCTACTAGTGGCTTGTGGAAATAGGTCCAGCTCATCCAAACCAGTCTCGCTCACAGTGTTCGGCGCTGGGTACAGTAAGTACAGGTATGCGCACAGACACATATAACAGAGACACACCTATAACTATATGGGCAATGGCGTGTTTGGGCGTGCTGTGATGCCACTGATGTGTGTTTTGTGCGCTTGTGAATCGATCGTCTACATAGGGAGTGGCTCGTTTTGGTGTGTTATGATGCCACTGATGTGACTGATGTATGTCTCGCGGGCATGCTTGTGAAATTGAGCGTCTACATGGGGAATGGCTGGTTTGGACGTGCTGCGATGCCACTGATGAATGTCTTGTGCCTGCTCTTGTGAATCGAGCGTCTACATGGGGAATAGCTGGTTCTGGTGTGTTATGATTCCACGGACGTGTGTCTTGCGCGGGTGCTTCTGAAATCGGGTACACATGGGGAATGGCTCGGTTACCATCTGTTTTTGTCTAGTGGATGCAACCTTGCTGACGCGGCGTCTACATGGGGAAAGGCATGTTGATGTGACCATGATGTGACCCCCTCGCATCGCAAGCGCCCCCTTAGACAGCTATGTTCCAACAAAGCGTGATGTGACTTAGCTCTGCTGCTGTAGGGAAGATCAGTCTTTATCCATACTCATGGCACTGCCTTGGGAAGCAGGTCATGAGGTGCTGTCCATGTGTGTTCGGCTCGCAAGCTAGCTGCAAGTAGCAGCACCTGCTACGGCTCCATGGTCGTACTGAAAGTCTAGGCCCAGAAGCTTGCCGGAAATACCGTACTTAACAGACTCCCGGGTCTCTTCGACACTGAAGCCCCAACGCGCTCCTGCACACAGAGGCAATGCCCGACCTCTCCTACCATCCCTACATATCCCGACTACCATCCCTACCCGGGGTAGGCTTTTTCCCTCCACTTTTAGCTTCTGCCATGGCGGGCGCCACCCGGAAGGAGGCGCGAGCGAACCTTGCGGCAGGGGCCGGGCCGTGGACAGGTGGTTGTGTGGATCATACTATCATTAACAATATTAAAATAATAGTAAGACCAATACTAGCAATAGTATTAATAATAGTAAGAATAACCCATAATAGCAATAACAAAAATAATAATCATTATCATCATAATATTATGTAGTAAGAATAGTAATAATCATCAGAAAATTCTGTTGAGCTCCAGGATGACATCCCGACGGCTTCCATTGATGTGACGAGGCGAGGGAAAAGGAGGGGAGGAGGGGGAGGCGAGTGCTCCCCTGGACCCTCAGAGAGCTCAGGGTTTAGGGTTTAGGGTTTAGGGCTCTCTCTTGCCCTGCCAGGATGTCTGTGAGACAGCTGAAAGCTGAGTTAGCGGTGCCTGCCCCGGGTTTTTCGAAAATCTCAGCCTCCGCGCGCGCGCCAGTGCTGCGTCTTTCGAGGCGAGAGACGTCGACATATCGCATTGTCGAGATAGGTCAGAGCTACTGGTTCTGCTTCGCCTGCGCCTTTGAACTAGGGCATAAGTGTGTCCGGCCAGTCATGAGTGTTCCTGCCAAGGTAAAGCACGAACAGCTGGGCCGGAGTCTGAACACGGCAAACTTCGGCTGCCTTGGGCTTGTCAGATGCAGTTTCGTTTCAGAGGCCTTGGGACAGCGGAAGTTTTGCGCGACGGAAGACCGACAACACCTACTTCTGGGTAGAGTTCGGGCACCAAGCCATGTGGGGAAGTTGGTTTCCTCAGAGAGGCCGAACGGTGTGCTTCCAAGGCTGGTGGATGGTATGACAGCCGTGTGCCACTACGGCGAAGGGACAACCGGGATCGTCAACGTGAACGAGCACGGACCTTTCAGTGGCTTTGTCCCTTGCCAACTTAAGATCCTGACTCTCAGGTTGGAGCCCATTTCTGCCCATGAGCTGCCATGCCCAGATCGTCCTTCGGACGCGCTTGTTCTGGTGGCCAGGACATCAGATTGTCAGTATTCGCATTATTGTTATCAACACAAAAAATTAGTTTGGCTGCTATTATGATTATCATTATTATTATTAGTATTGTCGTTGTTATTATTATCGTCATAGTTGTTATCATTGCACTTTGGGTTTTTCGCCTACATGCGCTACATGCCACATGCCAGGCTTCCCCGGAAGCTTCGAAGCCGCGCGGGCCGAGGCGTTCTTGAAGTCCAAGCTGTCGGGGACTCGAGTTTAGGGAGTTTAGGCTTTAGGTTTTAGGTTTTGGGGTTTAGGGTTTAGGTTTTAGGGTTTAGGGTTGAGGTTTTTAGGGTTTAGGGTTTAGGTTTTGTCGCGGGCTCGGGTGCGAGGCGTGCGGGTGATTTGTGAGTTTCCGAAAGCAGAACAGTCGCACCGTTCCTCAGCTTCCTGCTGCAAGGGTCGTAGGGCTGCAAACTCTGAAAAGGACCCAAGCTCGTAAACCCCAACGAGTGAGTAGCTGAGGCTGGTTGTCGCCATCGTTTCCGGCAGAGCAGACGCCCCAGCCGGGTTTGGGTTGTTTCGGCCGCGTGTTGGGGTTTCGGGGTTCGGGGCTTCTGGTTTGCAGGCTTCCGGAATTACAGGAGTTGAATTTAGGGTTTTGGGGGTTGACGTGTGCCCAAGATGTTCGGCGTCCGACCAAGGGCAAACCGGTGAGAGAAGAGGCGATGCAGTACATGGCCCGTGCCTGTAACCTGCCTGTCACTCCTTCGATGACCGGCTCAGCTCAGATCCAGGCCCTTGCCTCACAAGAAGTGCTGGTGATGCTTGGTGAGAACGCGGTACCGCAGCCTGAGTTTGCATCCGAAGCGTGCTCTTCGACCCCGAACCCATGAAGCGAGCTGTCATGGCAGGTTTTCTGGCGAGGAAAGCCCACCGAGCTCAAGGACACGCAGTTGCGGCAGTCTGCGCCTCTTTGTTTTGCTGGCTGTAACAGGAGCGCATGCACCCTTCTCGTGCCCTTCCCAGGTTGGCTCCCGTGGATATGCTGCCATCGCTGGCAATAGCCGTCCCTCTTGCAGCCGACGCCGGCTCCTCGAGTTTCGTCCTCCACAGGGCGATAACTTGTACACCGCGTCGAGGCCATGACGGTGATCTTGGCGATACCCGGTGCGATAAGTAGGCCGCTGAGGATGTTCACCGTCGAAGGGACATTCAACAGGCAGTTAGAGCAAGCAGAAACCACTCGCCGAGGTCGCTCCCAGGCCAACCGTCATTGCATTCGGTGCTGCTTTGCCTCGCATCGTCTGCGGAGCTTTACTCCAGCACTGCACTGGCAGACGCTGGACAGCATCCTCGAGGGCCTCGAAGCCATGGAGGTTCATCGGCAGGCGAGACACTCGGAAGCCGAAGCCAACTCCGAGAGTCCAGAAGCACCCGGGGGGAGTCTGAGAAAGGAAGCGTTACCTTGAAGAGGGGTTTCTGCAACAAGGGATCGCGCTGCGTGTTTTTTTTTAAGGGTCTGTGTTAGTGCCTCCAAGTTCAGTTCTCTTCTGAAACTTGAGGTGATGCTGGCGCGCCAGAACGACGAGGATGTCCAGCTGCGACAAGCCTTGGTCCCAGTAAGCCATGCGGCCTGGGGCACCTTCAGCCCGAAACGCCACGCTGCTGCGGAGTGTGGTCTTCTAACTCTGAGGAAGGAACAGACCCCGCAAACAAAAGCAAAGCAGCGGCTTTTTGCCTCAGGTCCTAGGTCTTAGGTCTTATTCTGTTGCGAGCTTTTGTCATTTGCCTGCCATGGGTTGGGTCGCAAGGTTAACCCACAGCCTCGGAAGGGTGCAACCTTGCCATCAAACGGAGAAACGAAGAAACTCCCACACGGAAGCTCTAGAACGAATTCCATTGCCCATGCTGCAAAGCTTGAGATTATTTCGTTCTGGTTTGCTACCTGTCTGTCAAATGCTGCTGCAGAGGCACAGTGCACTGCACCCAGCATCACGAATTCAGCCATTCTTGAAGAATGCCTGGCAAAATAGGCGCTTAACTGACCAAGCAGTCCCTAAGCAGCGCAAGCAGACTCTTTTCGTCACTCCTGGCGAAACCTGCTGATCTTCGGGCCTGCAGAGTCGCCAGCCCCCTCAAACCTCAGAGCCCCATAGCCATGTCTGATCTGAACCTAAGTGTCCTAAACCCTATACCCCCTAAGCCCTAAACCCTATACCCCCTAAGCCCTAAACCTTAAACCCTATACCCCCCTAAACCCCATACTCCTAAACCCTAAACCCTATACCCCCTCCCCAAATCCATGCAAATCCAGGCGCAGGACCAGGAGTATGCGGAGGGCCTGGCCAGGGACCAGGCGCCGCACACTTTGCTGCAACGCGAGAAGCCACCGGACTTCGAGTCACGGGAGCAGTGATAAGGGTTTAGGGTTTAGGCGTTTAGGCGTTTAGGGGTTTAGGGGTTTAGGGGTTCAGGGTTTAATTAGGGTTTATGGTTGAATTTGTGATAACTACCAGTAAGCGTCGTGGAAACTAGTGATCATAATCGATGTTCTGCAAAAGTGAATCATCGCAGCAGAAGAACAAGCAGTGTGTCGAACAAGCAGCAACAACTCAGAGGCAAGTGGCAAGCAAGTACAAAATCAAGGAGGGAAGATGACAACATTAAGACAGTACTTCTTGCAGCTCTGCGTACTAAGAACGTTGATCACTATCACAACAGCCATGTTATTTGGCAGTGGTGGACAGTATGCACAGTGGTAGCATCCCTTGATCCTCTGTGGAGGCATCTGTCAGGGTAAGAGGACTTCTGCCCGCTTCAGGCCGCAGCTGCGAATGCAGCAGCTGCTGCCGCCCCACAGCCAGAGGTGTGGTGACAGAGAGGAGGGTGATGTAGATGCAGGGTAGAGGGCCGCATGAAATGACAGAGCCTGAAGTGCTGCAAGCCGAAAGCTGATATTCGTTGCATTTCCGTTTTGTCGAGAGCACCTTTGGGCGCTCGAGCTCCCCGAGTTTCACCAATGACTCCGAGATACTCCGGGTAGTAGCCCAAGCGATGGGCTGGTTTCGCGGCTTGCTGGGGGTGAGCTCTCTGCGCTTCAACTCAGGGCCAGGAAGATCCGGGCTCGGATTTCGGGTTCGAGGCTTCACCGCGGATACAGGGCTGCCGAGGCTCCGGCTTCGAGGTTTGCCCTTCCATGCCACGGCCTATGACATCGAGGGCTTCTTCAAGGGCTTTCGGTTGGCTCCGGGTTCGCACAACGGCTCCTCCGTGGAGATTCTGCGCGGCCATGGACGAAGACCGACAGGCCAGGCCTTTGCCTACTTCGAGGACGTCATCGAGGCCATGCGCGCCAAGGATGCGCTGGATGGTGCACCCTGCTGTGTGATTGGATCACGGGTCTACAGGCTGGAACTCCTTGAGGACTTCCGGGGCAGGGCGATCATCACCGATGAGGATGTACCTGGCGACATTGAGGAGGAGTCGGAGCGAGATAAAGTTCGAAAGGCAATGGTCGGGCTTAAGTACAAGGAGAAGCTGGACATGAAACGGTTCAAGTTTCGTCAATATTGAGCGTCCTTGGGATGCATTTCCAAGGAGCGACGACCAGCCGGAAGAGAGAGACCTTTCATTGTGTGGCACGTGTTGAAAAAAGGCTTCAGCCGGACTGCATTTGACGATGATTGTCACGAGTTTGTGTTGTTCCCAACTCGAACAGCAAGACACTCGAACCGTCGGAGTACCAGCAATCGCTGACTCGCCTGGTTTTCGCTGCAGGCTGTCAGACCTGCTGCAGTTCAGCAGAGTAGCGAGTACAAGCCTCAGGTGCCACACCATCCAGAGCAGCTGAAAATCGCATGTGCATGTATATGGATATGTGCAGGTACATCTCTCTTTTCCTCTCTATCTGTCTGAATGACTGTGTGGATGTTCTCGACCTCTGCATGTATGTCCATTTGCATATGGACATGCATTGGCTAGACACAGTTTGCGCACATGCATGCGTACGTGCACACACACACACACACTGATATATCGGAAAATGACGGCTGGTACGTATACTGAGTACGCAAACATATACGCATCCACAGTAATTGGTGTATTGTAGCTGCTGGAGACTTGAGCCGGCCATGTATGAGGCCAGTCCGGCAAGTGGCAGATCCTGCCGACGAGGCATGTTTTCTCATGTGTACGATGCCTGCTTTTTCCGTTGAGAGTTTCAGACTGCACTTCGCGGGATGGTGCATTCGAAACGTCATCGACTCGTCTGCATTACAGTGTCGCTCGTGCGCGTGAGGCCCGGCGGGCTTTGGCAGAGGAGTTCCTCCGTGAAGGGCCCTCGCCCACCAAGGCGTGAGTATGAAACATCTGCCGATCAGCTGAAGTAACGTGTCGGTTGCCAGGCCGATCCCGTTCGGCTTGTACGAACCTCACCTGATCCATGGCTGACCGTAAAAGCCGACGCGACTGCTTTGGCATTGAGGTGTTGAAACTGCCCACGGGCGAGCGGGTTGAACGAACGTTCGAGTCGCTTCGGCCTTAGCAGTTGGGATAGAAGATCTTAAATGGAGTTCAGAAAGTCAGGTTACTTTATTTCAGGATCCTCCTCAACCCTAAACTTCTAAACTCGAAGCCCTACACGCGACAAAGCCCTCAAACGACTTGTCTAAGGATCCCCCTGAATTGATCTTCCCTATGGTTCTTGTACGAGCCGAACTCCGAGGCAGGACCCGCTGGCCAGAGTTCGCCGATGGGCGACCTGCCTGGATTAGTTGCGTTATTGTAAAGTGTGAGTTTGACTACGTACTGCTGCTTTCGTGTTGTGATTATGGCTACCTCTATCACAACGAGAATACCGGCTAAGAGCAAGTATGACTATTGTTATCATTTTCATATGCTCTTCTTGCAACTGCTACATGTCCTTCCTCTGCTGAACCTCGGATGATGGCGATGAGGACGACGAGCAGGTTTTAGGGAACCCTAAATCCTAAATCCCTAAACCCTGAACCCTAAACAGCAGAGGGATCCGCACGTGCCGAGGCCCAAAGCTGCCCTTTGCTGTGCCGGGCCCAGACTGAAATGTGGGGTAGTTCTACAAATATTAGGCTTCCTTTTGGGGTCCCTTTAAACGGATCTTCAAAGGGTTTCTATAGGGTTTCTATTAGCATTAGGGATCTATGTGGGTAGTTCTCTAAATTAAGGTCCCCTTCTGGGGTCCTTGTGAATATATTGAGAACCGTAAAAGCGACCCTAATTTGGAGAACTACCCACATAGCAGTAGAGTGCTAGTGGGCCTTGTCATCATTACCAGAACGTACGTGGTGGTCCTGGCGACGGCAGCAGTGGTGGTGGTGCTGGTGGCGATTGGTCGCGGCGTAATGGTACCCAGAGCAGATCAGAGCTTGAACTTGTCTCGTGCATCGAGGCCTGAGGCAGAGGGGCGTCAGCTTCACATCCCGGCATCGTCTGAGCCCTCAGATCCGCAGCCCGTAGCCGCGGCCCGTATTGGAAATACAGAGCATCTGTCCAACAAAGTTTCAGCACATGGACTCCGAGGTTTGAACTCGCCACTGCGTTTCCAAGACGGAAGCTGGAGTCTCAGAAGGCGACAAAGAGCCTGGCTTGTTGCTTTTGCATCGTTGAAAGACACTCTCAATTGCAAAGCTTGCATCTGCGACAGCTGAGATTTGTGGCGAGCGAGCTCAACTGCACGTTGAGGGCACGCCTGCTCTTGTGCTTTGCTGTGACGCTCAATGAAGCCCTGTAATACCTGAGATGCCAAGATTTATCAGCAGCACCGAAATTCTGCCCTAAACCGTAAACCCTGAACCCTAAAAGCCCCAAACTCTAAACCCTAAACCCAAAACTCCATGAGGGTCTGAAGCCGTCAGGAGCTGGGGCTGGCACCCAGCGCCGCGCTGCTTCTCATCGAGGAGGAGTCGTGAAAGCTCCTCAGCCCGCCTCCCTGGGCTCGTCAGGTCCGCCTACACAGTAGTAGTAGGAACAAAGACAAATATGCCTTAGCTATCCGTATTATTACTAGTGCTAGTAAGAATAATAATACCAGCGATAAGAGTAATGGATTTAGAGTAGTAATCATAATCTCAATATTGAAAGAAAAAAGTGTTCGTGCCCTCGGATCACTTCATAGGGTTAGGTAGCTTTTTCCGCATCGGCTGGCCAAGAGTTCGAGAACTTCTTGCAAGCATCGCTGCATCTTAGTCTTAAAGGGATCTATAAGCGTTTAAATAAGGGTACAATAAAGGATCTAGAAGGGTTTCTGTAAGGGTACTAGGGTTCTACAAGGTTTATTGGGGCCCCGTTAGGGTCCTTTTTATACGGGTGCAGCCTTCAAATGCTCGAGCTCCACGTCCGATGCTTGCTAGACCAGTCTGTGGCCCACATGAAACATGTGATGGTCTGTAGAAACATCTTGGAGGCTTCGACTCAGCCACCAAAATGTGCAGAGGGCTGGATCAACAGAGCAAAGCGGAGCGAAGCGACTACATATATATATATATATATGTATATGGTACCTCCCCCCCACCCCCGGGACCTAGGTTGTGTCCTGTTCAAGTCAGCCGCCTTGTCCCTAATATGTGTTCGTGTCCCCGCGTTGCTGCGTCTCTGGATAAGCACGTCTTTGTTTACTATATTTCTGGCCCCCGAGGCTTCGAAATTTAGGGTTTACTGGATGGTTCTTAACCCAGAGTTCTCTATGCTTTTTGCTCCCGAGGTTTCTCCAACTTCATGGACA